AATCAGAACAATAATATCATGAAAGTATCCCCTAGTTATAAACTTTTGGGAATTGTAAACTGCTGTTATATTAGATATTATCCCTCTAATACCAGAGGGAGGGCAGGGCTGGTGTGTTTCTATTGTAAATTTTTAGAAGGGAACATTGGCTCAGAATAACCTGACTACCTGCTAAAACACAGTCAGGTCCATGGTAGTCATGGGGGCTTCTGAGGAAGGACATTGCATTTGATTAGTCTCTTTATCTCCTGTGCCTAAGAGCCAATTGTGAACTAAATCAACGATAACTTTCAATCTCTAAATTGTACTCAGTCAGAACACAATAGGATACATCAAAAAGAAAATGGAATTCAGGGTCCTCTATGCTATCCTGTCTTCTCTGACACCCATTCCTGGAAACTGGAGGCTGTAATGTCTCTGCATCAAGACCTGGCATTGTTCTTAAACCCGGCCCTGATCGGTAGCACAGCCTTTTGCAAGGGTATGAGGTCTGATACTCTGTGATGATTGTGTTCCACAATTGTGGCTCTGATGTCAAAGCCATGTAGAAGTTTGATTTTCCATGGACACTTTCATCAACAGCTTATGAGTATGGTGATCACCTTTTCACTTATGACTCTCAACCCTATTATGTCAAGGCTCCAATTCTGTCCCAAGCTTCAGACCTACATGTGCCATTATCTGCTAGACTCAATTCTTGGGTAAATCCCCAACTCAGAGTGTCTCTACCTAAGCTCCTTTCCCTCTACCCCAAACACAGTTTCCCTGTGGGCTGCCTTTCCCATTGGATGCCAATGTCTTTACCCGAGTTAGACTCCTTTCTCGCCTTCCCCTAATGTGATAAACCTGGTTATAAACGTCTGTGCGTTCTACTGGCCTTCGGCTGTTCCACTTTCAGCTCTTCTCTACCCTGCCCCAGAGTGACCCCGATCATGTCCTTCCCTATTGGGTATTTTTTCTTTTATTTGTTGTCATGCCAAGCATTGCTCTCATTGCTAACAATCTAAGAGGTGGTAATACCATTTTGCAGATGGGGAAACTGAGGAACAGAGGGTTTAAGTAACTTGCCCAAAGTCACAGAGCTGCTAGATGAGAAAGCAAGAGTCTGTATCTAAGGTGTCTATTTCCAGAGACTCTGCTCCTGGCCATGAGGTTATCATTATGGGCTAAATTATGCTCCCTCCACCCCCAGATTTTTATGTTGAAGTCTTAACCGCCACTAGCTCGGAATATAATCATATTTGAAGATAATATCTTTAAAGAAGTAATTAAGTTAAAATAAGATCCCCAGGGTGGGCTATAATCCGCTATGTCCTTATATGAACAGGAAATTTAAGGAGAGGATATAGACTTGTACAGCAAAGAAATAATTCCCAAGTAAAAATCAGGTTTCAACACCAAAAATGTGCAATAGACATTGGGGAAGCAAGAGGAGCAAATACTACCTGGGAGTTTTCAGATACTTCATATTTGGCTCTTTTTCATGGACCTGAAACATCTTTAGAAACTTTTTCATATTCAAGTCATGGCTTGTTGGTGCCACTATGAGCTGTCATGAGTCAATGAACCAGTGTAAGGTTCTGATATGAGATGAAACTATGGACAGAATTAACACATTCTCTTCTAGCCCTTCTTGCTATGTGTCAAGGTGATTTCAATAACTCCCTTCCTAACACCAGGCAACCTCCAGCACCTGGTATTAGTTGCTGACTTCTTCAACCCTACTCAAGGGCAGGTTAAGATGTTTTCATGTTCCCAGGTCTATCTTGTGTGGACTAGAGTGATACTTGTGAAGGTACGTGATTAACTATCTAGTTCTATAAATGGAAATTAATATTTATGTTTCCAATGGAGAACAGAGGTTTTTGTCTCCTTTATTTATCAATTTAGGATCAAAAGTTTCTGACCAGGGAGTTCTACAAAGTCTGCTTATTCCTAGAATTTAGCATAATCCTTGGCACATAATTCAAGCTCCGGGAGATTCCATTTCTGTCGCTCTCATTTTTGATTCTATAGCATCATATGTTCATACTTAGTAGCTCTCCTGGCTGGGATCTTGCCAGACATAAACCTTAATGAGATACAATCTCTTTTTTGGATATACCTCAAGAAACTACAAAACCCAATAACAGTTAAGCCCAGAGTCAAATCAGAGACTTAATATCTTTCATAATAGCTACAAAGAAAATAAAGTACCTAGGAATATACTTAACCAAGGAGTTAAAAGTTCTCTCCAAACAGAACTATGAAACCCAGAGAAAAGAAATAGCAGATGACACAAACCAATGGGAAAACTCATCTTGCTCATGAATCAGTAAGGTCAGTCAACATTGTTAAAATGTCTATACTACCCAAAGTGATTTACAGATTCAATGCAATCCCCATCAAAATACCCATGTCATACTTCACAGATCTAGAAAAAATAATTTTATGTTTCATTTGGACCAGAAAAGGACCCCAATAGCCAAAGCAATCTTAAGCAAAAAGAACAAATCTGGAGGCATCACATTACCAGACTTTAAACTATACTACAAGGCTATAGTAACCAAAACATACACATTATGACACAATAGAGACATAGACCAATGGAACAGGACAGAGAACCCAGATATGGAACCATCCACATACAGCCAACTGCTCTTTGACAAAGCAGACAACAATATACAATGGGGAAAAGAAGCCCTACTCAATAAATGGTGCCGGGAGAATTGGATAGCCACAGGCACAAGAATGAAACAGGATCCATATCTCTCAACACTCAGAAAAATTAATTCAAGATGGATAAAAGACTTAAAGGCAAAGCATGAAAGCATAAGAATTCTAGAAGAAAATGTAGGAAAAACTCTTCTAGATATTAGACTAGGCAAAGAATTTATGAAAAAGACTCTAGTGACAATCATATCAACAATAAAAATAAATGAATCTTGATTAAATTAAAAAAACTTCTGCACAGCTAAAGAAATAATCAGCAGAGCAAATGGCAACCTATAGAATGGGAGAAAATATTCTCCAGCTATATATCCACTAAAGGGCTAATAACTAGAATCTACAAAGAATTCAAGCAAATCAGCAAGAAAAAGCAAAGAAGCCCACTAAAAGGTAGGCAAAAGACATGAACAGAAGCTTTCAAAAGAAGATAGACAAATGGCCAGTAAGCATGTAAAAAATGCTCAACGTCACTAATCATCAGGGAAAGGCAAATTAAAACCACAATGAGATATCACCTTCCTCCAGTTAGAATGGTTTTTATTAAAAAAATCCAAAAACAACAGATGTTGGTGTGGATGCAGAGAGAAACACTTATACACTGTTGATGAGACTGCAAATTAGTACAACCTCTATGGAAAACAATGAAGAACCCTGAAATAACTGAACGTAGACCTACCATTTGATCCAGCAATCCCAATACTGGGTATTTATCCAAAGGAAAAGAAGTCATTTTATCCAAAAGACACCTGCACATGAATGTCTATTGCAGCACAATTCGCAATTGTAAAGATGTGGAATTAACCCAAGTGCCCATCAACTCATAAGTAGATTAACAATATGTGTTCTATACCACGGAGTACTACTCAGCCATAAAAAGGATGAATTAATGTCTTTTGTAACAATTTGGATGGAACTGGAGACCATTATCTTAACTGAAGTATATAAAGATTAGAAAAAGAAACACCACATGTACTCACTACTAAATTGGAACTAACCGATGAGCACACATGTGCACAGAGGGAAGTAAAACTCAGTGGAAATTAGGTTGGGGGAGGGGGGGTTGGTTGAAACCCCCCTTACCGGTTCCATTGGGCCTTTTCTTGGTGACAGGCATGCTTATAGCCCTGACTCAAACATTATGAAAGCGATCCATGTAACCAAAAACATTTGTAATATTTTGAAATAAAATTTAAAAAAGAACACTGACTGATCAGATATAAAAAGCACAACACTTACCAAACCCATCATTCATCACTCAAAAGGAAACAAGTATAAGGCCATAAAAGAGCTCAAGAATCTTCTTTTCATCTCTCAAAATTCAAATGTTTATGGACTTCCAAGTCCTAAAACTCATACTTCCCTAAAAGAAAGAGTCTCCCTTACAAAATACTGTGAGAAAGAATAATTGCCTTTATTATGTAGATGGTATTTCTGTGTCATTTTTCATTTTTTGTTTCTGTAGGGTTCTCTTTATGGAGGTCTCCGTGACGTGCCCCAGCTCTGGCTCTGGCTTGCTATGTGACCATCACCCAGCAGCTCTAGGTCTTAGTTCACACATCTGTAAAATGGGAACCAGAATACTTACCTCACTCTTCTATCTTTTTAAATTCTTTTTGCTGTTTTCTAAAAGTTGTGGTAAAATACACATAATAAAATTTACTATCTTAACTGCTTTTTAGTGTACAGTTCAGGGGCGTTAACTACATTCACACTGTTGTGCGGCCATTGCCACTCTCTGTCTCCAGGACTCTTTTCATCTTGCAAGACTGAAACTCTGCACCCATTAAACGATGACTTCCTAGTCACCCTCTACTCAGTCCCTGGCAACTGCCTGATGATTTCTTCTCTCTATGAATTTGTCTCCTCCAGGTACCACAAATAAGTGAAATCATGCGGTATTTGTCTTTTCGTAGCGGGCTTGCTTCATTTAGCATAATGTTCTCAAGATTCTTCCATGTTGTATCTTATAGCAGAATTTCTCTTTTGCATGGCTGAATAATATTCCTTTGGATGTATCTTTTCCATTTAGACTAATTACTGCCAGGGAAGAACTTAACCACTGCCATTTTGTCATTTGCTTTCTTTACATCTTATAGTTTTTTTCCCCTCATTTCTTACCTTACTGCCTTCTTTTGTGTTTAATAGATTTTTTTTTGGTAGTTACTTGGTTTGATTCTCTTCTGTTTCCCTCCTGTGCATATTCTATAGGTATTTTTGTGGTTATTATGGGGATTACATACAATATCCTAAAATTATAAGTCTATTTTAAACTGATGTCAACTTACCTTTCATTGCATACAAAACTCTGCTACTCCTTCAGGGCTCTATCTCCTCATATTATTGATGCCACAAATCACATCTCCATATATTGCATAGCCATTAACATATGTTTATAATTATTTTTATGCTTCTGTCTTTTAAATCCTGTAAAAGCATGAAAAGTGGAGTGACAAACCTAAATGACAGGTTTTTATATTTGTCTATGTATTTTTATATTTGCCTATGTATTCACCTTTCCCAGAGAACTTTTCTAATGTATTTTCACATGGCTTCAGTTCCCTTTTTCTTTCCAAGGTTAAGTAAAATTAAATGTGCGGAACCACCTAGTTAATATCAAGTTTGTAATAAGTATTTTTAAAATGGTAGTCACCTTCCCAGGAAATGCTTGTTGCCTGATTGATCGTCCATTGAACAAGTGAGTGAATTCCCTGTCTCTACAATAAAAAGCCTGTAAGAAAGAGGCACGGGTGCTATTTTAGTGAGGGGGGATTTCCTTGACCACCTACTAGGGATGTGGACAAAGAGAAACTAGAATCAGTAACAGAACTCACAGGCCAAGGATGCATCTTGGTTTTCCAAAAGTTCTGTGGCCCTGGTTGCTGGGTTTCTTGCTTATCATGTCGTGGGGTCACTGGGGTTAGACTCTATTTTAAAAGACACGGCTTGAAATAGTTTTCCTTTTCCTTTCACTGCTTCAGGAAGTTCCACTCTGAGTCAATGCCAAATGCGTTCAGTTTTCAGCTTGAATTTACCCGTAAACGGCAGTGGAAGAGATGATTCAGAAATCCCATTCTGACCTTATTTACCTCACGCCCAAACTGCAGCAGGTGAGCCCGGGACTCTGCAGGTGGGATTATTGTAGAGGAGTGGGTGTGCCGTGTTGGAGACCGTGTTCACAGGAACAGCGTATGCCCAGGAAAGGACTCAGGCCAAGGATTGTTTCAAATTGCTCACCAGGCTATGCAGGCTGTATAAACAGAGCAAACAAAAAAATGCGGACATGAATTTAAAAATCAGGAAGCATAACAGCATAATTGTGCACATGATGTATGGTAGAACCAGGGAAAATGTGTGCATTCATGGGATCCAACTACAGTTGATTTATAGACATTGTGGGGGGGAAAAAAGAGAGAGAATATCGTGTCTGCTACATCAAAAGCAGTCATAGTCTTATAGTTATGTGTTTTATACTTTTCTTAAGGAAATCTTTTCATTATGCCATTCTTTTGTTCAAGCACATATTGTGTATGTTATATAGGAAAGAATAATGCATCCGATGTTTGAGACCTGAGTTCTAATGCTAGCTCTGATACTGACTACACAGCCCTAGGAAACCTGGTGCCTGATTAGGCCAATATTTCTTCATATGTAAAGTGGAAGCAAACATTGTTATTGCATTTCTTTCAGGAATAAATGAGGTACTATATTTATAAATACTTAAGAGTGCCATGTACCCTCAAGTGTCTAACATATGCCAGCTTTTGAACAAATATTGAGTTATTCTTCCCAATTCACCCCAATTGTTTCGTCATTCATAAAATTTGGGCAGATTTTGTACCTTTATCTAATTATAACATTTCTACCAATGTTCTGGAACAATCTTCAATCAAGGGGGGGGAAATGCCATCTTGTAATTCTCTCTGATTCTGTAAGAGATGGTCACATCCCTTGTATTTTTGAGAAAATGTATTGTTTTTTTTTAGTCTGAGGCAATGTTTTATATTATATATGCTTATAAATTTGGAAAGAAATCGACTTTAATTTATTCATCTACACACAATGCTAGACATGGGTTGTCGATTATGTAAAGGTGTCTGATATTATACCCAAACCACTGCATATTATATCAATTTTTGGATATCTTTGTAAGGAAAATCAATCGCAATTGCTTTTGACTCTCTCCAGTAAATGTCTAAAACTGATCATTATGATAACTGACAAGTTCTAACTTGTTAAAGGACCAAAGCTCAGTGCAATTTCAGAAAACGTCTCTGGTATGATAACTTCCACGTAAGATTCTGAGAGCCTGTATTTGAATTCAGTACAAATACACATAATCTCTCTCCTAAAATGCAAATAGGTTCTCAAGATTCTTTGGAATTCATGTGATTCATTAGTATTTGGTCTTGACATTTTAAAATGACAAGATAATTTCAAATTTTCTTCTCCTTTTGATTATATTTGAACTGTTTCAATTAGATGCAAATGTATCTTTAACATTTATCTTTATCATCTATTTTTTTTTTCCAATTTGCTGAGGATAGTAGGCTTTATAGAAAGCAACGGTGCCCAAAAGCAAGGAGGTGAGTAGAAACGTGTTTTAACACCAGGAAGCAGAAAGCAGTTGTATCCACTCAGCAAATAATCAGAACTGGAAAGCATAACCCTCAAACTCACAAGTTTCCTGTAATTTATGTGGTCAGCTGTTTTGGTCGTGGGTTTCACAAAACTCTGAGTATTTCCCAGAGCTAAGCTAGCAGTGTCATGCAGCTAACATTCAGAGAGAATGAAGATAAAAGAAAGAATGAAGTCCTGTCATTTATGGCAACAAGGATGAGCCTAGAGCACATTATGTTAAGGGAAATAAGCGAGGCACAGAAAGGTAAATACCTCATGTTCTCATTCATGTGTAGAAGCTAAATAGGTTGATCTCATAGAGGTAGAGAGTGCAATAGTGGTAACTAGAGGCTGGAAAGGGTAGGAGGAAGAGGGGAATAGGAAGAGCTTCATTAACAGATACAAAATTATAGCGAGAAGAAGTAAGTTCTAGTGCTCTATAGCACTGGAGGGTGACTATAGTTAACAATGATTTATTCTATATTTTCAAATAGCTGGAAGAGAGGATTTCGAATGTTCTCAACACAAGGAAATGATAAATGTCTGAGATGATGGTTCTGCTAATTACTCTGATCTTATCATTACATGTTACATATCGTATCGAAACATCACACTGTATCCCATGACTATGTACAATTATTATGTGTCAATTAAAACTCTAAAAAAGATAGGTAGAAAAAATGAAATGAGGGAAATAGCATTAGACCAAATTTAAATTAGGTGCTTTATTTCAGTTGGCAACAAAGTTGACTCAATCATTCACAATATCATCTCAAATTTAGAGTTTTTAAAGTACTTTGACAATGGGCTTCATCTCACTTCTAATAAGCCTGTGATGGAGGAATCATTACAAAGAAGAAGAAAATAAGTCCCAGAAGAGAGAAAAGCTTTGCTTGACATCACTCCAGTAGAACTTAGACCCAGGTTCTCAGGTTCCAAGTCCAATGTTCTGGTCAAGTTACCCCAGTTACATGATATTCCTCCAGCACCACGCTAGGTCTCATGGCAATGCCAGGGTGAATAGGTTGTAGACTGCCTTCCTCAGGAGCTTTCAACACGATGCAGGCACAAATAAGAAATGTTGAATCAGAAGACCCCAGCTTATGTGTGAATCCAGAGTGGATACATATGGTCAAAAAAAAAAAAAAGAGGAAATTCTAATTTATGGAATATGACTCTCTGCCAGACATTGTGCCATGTGTTCTTACAATGGCAAGTAATGACCATTTTTCAGATGCAGAAATTAGAACCCAGAAATTTTGTCTAAGCTGCCTATTATTATCTTCAGACCAACCAAGTGAGACAGGTGGAACCCAAACACATGTCAGCTCCCCAAACTATTGCTGTTGACCCACCTCGCTGGGCTCTGAGTCTGCAGACCTGGGTTTGATCTCAATCTTGAAACCTATATGACAAGGCTAAATATACACACACACACACACACACACACACACATATATGTATATATATATATATTTCATATATAATTTTCATTATATATATAGAAAATATGTAAAATATTGGATATTAGCAAAAACCTTGGATATGATCCTTAACCTGTCTACCATTAAGCTTTCTTGCTTATGAAATAGTCGTAAGCATGTCAACTTTGTAGCTTTTATTGCTCAAATAAATTAAATGTCACATGCCTAGCACACATCTGGAAAATGGTGAGACTGCTAAATGTTTGTTTCTTTCCTTCCTCCCTGAAATCTGCAAAAATGAGGCTGCCCTTCTCTTAGCACATAGTCTTTTAGTGCTACAGAAAGACAGAGAGAGTCAGTGCAGAATGGTCTTGAATTATTCACACTGAAAGTTAATTCCATCCTAGGTATATTAGTTCAATTCCTACAATAATTCAGCTATGAAAAAAAGTGTGGTAATAATAACAGTGTGCATCATTTTTATGGCAATTGATCACCACAGTAGTACTAAGTGGCACATAGGACAGGACTATTATCATTCCTATTTTATAGATGGTCAGGACTCAAGGAATCTAAGTAAATGGGCCCAAGTCCCAGTGCATCAGTTCAGGACCCAGACCAAGGCCTTCTGATTCCAAGTCCCCTGTCTTTGACAGTATCCAACACAGCACAGCATACACATCAAACCAAAAGCTATACGTGGCCATTAAGAAAAACTTAGTGAATAAGATCTTAACCTTTCTAAAACTGTAAAGAAAAGATTTGCTGTGGGGCAGGTGTCACCACCAAACACTACAGGATATTGTTATATCTCAGAAGCCATGGTAGTGCAGTGGCATTGCCAGGGAACAGTTATGCTCAGGGCTTCCGGCATCTGGGGGTGAAAATGTATGTGTTGAGGTCAGTGAGGTCTCCCACTGTCAGCAGGGAGAACCACCTTTATTTCTGCTCAGCACAAAACAAAAATGACATCCGTCAAGGCCATTATCCTTTCAGATGTGACTAGAATCCACAAGTGATAAGGGTGAGTTCGCAGCACTTCGTTGAGAATAAGAAATCCCAACTCACAGAAAATGGAGTTTTCGAGCCATGTAGGGCCTTAGAAATTGTGCATAGGAGGGGGAAATAAAAGATGGGATTTGAAATTAAAAGAAAATCCTGGCTTCACACCAAAGCTCTGCCCATTAGTTTCCAAAGCCTAGTTCTTTCAACTGTAAATGGGTTTATTGTAAGAGCAGATGAGTCAATACACATAAAAGCATTTCGAGAACTAGAAAGTACCTTGCACATTTGGGATACCTTTTAAAAATTTTTTAAGAGAAAAAAAATGATCAAGATTTGTCCAGCTATTAGTATTAGAGAAATAAATATGAACTCGGGATTCTAGAGAGTGGTTCCATAGTCATTCCCCGACTCAATATGGCCACAACAATATAACCAGTGTTGTTCGTGGCCCTGGCATTGGTACTGGGAGGAAGAGAAAATCACCATTAAGACGTACCTCCTTTGGTCACTGGAAGGGCCAGGCTTGGGTGGTCATCGCAGCTCCTGTACTCATCTCTAAGACATTACCTGCAATATATCGCATCATCTCTGTTTTTCTGCTTTTTGCACAGAATTTAGTAGATTATATACTCCTTGAAGGAAAATACTACATTACTTATATTTATCTATGTATCAACAGTGTACACCAGAAGGTATGGCCTGAATAAAAGCTCTGCAAATGTGGAGAGAGTGGCCCCTACAATCCAAGGCTCCTACCCTAGTTTATGGGCTGGACTCGTGTAGGAACTGCGATAGAGACACAACAGGCGTTAGAGGACTGTGGGGGGTGGTGGTGGTGGGAATTAATGTCTGGTGTGAAGCAAAAACTGTGGTGCTCCTCACCTTAGGTGAAAACTGTAGGAGCGGGGAGTGAGTCGAATAGAAGTCCAAAAAAGGGTCATGTGGCATTAGAAAGGGATTGTATCCTCCTTGGCAGCGGAACAGGCTGGGCTTGTGCTAGAACCTGCACCCTCTGAATGCGAGTCTAGGGGCTGAACTCAGCCTTGTCCTAAGCAAGGTGTATTGATAGAACAAAAGGCCACATCTTCACCTATGTCCAACTCCCAGACTTGTTCTGGTGTCACTCCCAACTCCTTTGACTTTCTGGAACATGCTATGCTGTTTGCTCTTCCATTCCTTGCTAAGTGTTGCTCTGTTTGCATGGAATGATTTCTCCAATACACACACACACACACACACACACACACACACAACCTATTCAAATTCATCCTTAACACTGTGCTCATGTATCTTCTACTTGGTGACTCCTTGCTTAGTCTTGCTAGAGAGATCACTTCTTTGGCCTTGTATGTGTCACATGGATCATAATGACTTCTTTATATCACACTATATCACAAGGAGAGGTACAGTGTTATGCACCCCAAATACTCCCACTATGCATCATAGCCCAGGGCCTAACAGATAGTTTTTCAGTAGAGAAATGCATAACAGAGTAAAGGAATAAAACCACTGCTAATTGCATTGCTGCTTTAACCCTCACCTGCTTGTGACTGATACAGAAGGTGTGCTGGAATGGACACCTTGCCCAAGATTGTATAGGCTTAGTAATGGCACCATGGGATTTTTACAGGCTTTGGGTACAACTTCAAGATTTTAATTTACTGTTGTCTATATCAACAGGGTCCTGGCTATAATTCCCCAGTTCAATATATAGAACAATCCTTTCTACAGACAACTTAGTAGGGGATTTAGTAGTGAGCACTTTGGTAATTTCCCACCTGCTAATGGATAAACAACAGCAGTCCTAGTGTATCGAGGGCTGTGGGCATTGAATGGTGATTCTCCGGCTGCAGCTCCTAGCAATGTATTTACTCAGCTGCTCGAGAGCCCAGCAGCTGGGAACAGGCTCCCCAGTCAGCTATAAGAAAACTACCAGGGACTCATTTATTTACTATTAAACTGTAAGCACTTGGCAGGGCATCTGGCCCCACGTTCCTAGGTTATGATTGGGTACTCATGAGACACGGTTGTTAGAAGAGCAGCTGGAATATTTAAAATGTCAAATAGGAAATTCAGAAGTTTTAGAATCTCAGCACATTTTTTTTAATGGGGTGAAGAGAGATGTTAGGTGGAATTAGAACACATTTGGAACCTCTGACATTCCTTAGATTGAATTTACCTTGAACTTATGTCTGATACAGTTCTGTTTGCTTTTAAAGTGTAAGATTTTGGAGGCTGCACATGACAATGGGGTTTCACAAAGGGATTTTGTGGGTGACCAGTGTCTGTAAACAACATTTGGTGTGTAGGAAAACTACCAGGTCTAGTGAAGGGAAAAGACAGATCTGGGGTTTGAAATGCCTAGGTTTTAGTCTTGATCTTGTCACTTAGTGGCATGACCTTGGAAAAAAATCTTGAAACTCCATGAAGCTTTATTTCATCATTTGCAAAACGGGGTGATAGTATCTACATTGGGAACTCCAAGGATGGGTCTGATGCATCTTGTCGGATGTGGCGGTTGATAAGGGAAATATTCAGAAATAGGCCAGAGATTAATTGACTCTGCCTGGTGCTGTATGAATTAAAATATTTTAAAATGTCATTGCACCCACCTATTTGGTTAAAGGTTTACATACTTCTTAGGCTGCACAGCTGAGTGTATGTATTATGTCCCATCTTTCTTTCCCAGATCATTGTTGGACATGAGGTAGAAGTTCCTGAGTACGTAGGTATTTTTCCACCTTCCAAATAACATCTTATTTCTTTTTCCAAAGTAGAATAATATAATGCTACTTAATGAAGCCCCTTGAATAGTGACATTTCGTTTAATTATAATTTTAAATTTTGGAACATGCACAACATATCAAGGTATAATGAAAAGGGCAGAAGAACTGAGTTTAAAATCTAGCTCTCTATTATTTCTGTAGGACTTAAAAATATTTATTCAAACTTTCTCATTCTCTGTTTTGACCTCTGCAAAATGCTGATAGTAATCGTTATACTTCAGAGCATTTTGGGGATTCGTTGTTACAAATGGGAAAATTTGAGAGCCGAGTACTCCATGAATGTGTGCTTCACATTCATTTTATAACCAGTCCTGGACAGAAGACACACTGAAACACGCCAAGTTCCTTGACGTGCATTCTAGGAAATGGTAGACACAGAGCAAGAGCCTTTCGGCAGCACATGTGACCTGGGGCTATTCTGACCGTGGGCCAAGCGACATCCCCTATGTGTCATCTATACCTGCCCTGATACAGACTCCTCACGGTTTCCAAATATGGCTGGGCTGTTCAATTTTTTGGCTTTCTATTCTCCTTTCTAGTTCCTATAATTCATCGGCTTATTTCACACCCTCATGCCTTGGCATAAGCCCATCTCTTTGCTAGAATGACCTACCTTCCCCTGGCACCTCTCCCTACCCCCTCTCCGCCCACCTCCACATATGCTTTTTCATCTTTAAAATATTTGCTATCTATTGTTCTATAATTACTTCTTTAACAACCCTGTGCCCACTGATAGGAGGTTCTCTTCATGAAGGCAAGATAAGGAATGATTTAAAAAATAAGATGCAAAAAGATTCAGAAAGGACACAGGTGCTAAATCTGGTGACATCACGGTGTCTAGAATGCCTCTAGCCCTCCTTTCCACCCGTCCCAGTCAATCCCTCCTCCCGGTGTTTGTTCATTCTTGTGTCCATCCCCAAACTTGTTTACCTGTTATTCATTAGACATTGCACTAAGCATAGGATATAAAAATATGACACTGAACAAGACACAGTCCTCATCCTCGTGAAGTGTGTTGAATAGTAAGGAGGTTGCAGATCAGATTTTCATTTTAAAAAGATTGGTCTGACAGACTGGAGAGGATTCCATGGAGAGAAAAACCCACCATCAGGAAAGCCCATGAAAAGGAGGTTGCAATAATTTAGGCAGCAAGATGGACAGGATCTGGATGGATAGCAACAGCAACAATAACTCTTTATGAACTATGTTCTGTGTGTTAGGAACTGTGCTAAATTCTTTTCATTCTTACTTCCCTTCCACCTTCAGAAGAACTCACTGCAGAAGAGATGGTCTTCTTTTCCCAGATGACGAAGTTGAGAGATCAGTTACTTGCCAGGAGGCATACAGCTAATAAGCATCAGAGCTGGAATCTGAACTCAAGCACTTCTGTCTCCAAAGCCTGAGCTCTTAAACAGAGCTCTGTGCTTGGCCTGTTGGAACATGACCAAGAGGGAGGATCACAAGGTTTAGTTGACACGTTTTGCATGCCAGCCCACATCCCCTCGACCCTGCTACCCTGGTTCTTGCCTGCTTGCCTTCCTCGTGAGTACATCAGCCTTAGTGGTGGCTTAGGTCTTCCCTGTGGCTTTAGAGTCATTTGCTACCCTCTCTTCACTCTCTAACAACATCGATTGTCTCAGGGCCATTGAGCTTGCTGAGACGGGACTTGCAGAGGTACAAGCACCCGCATCCATCTGGATGATGATCCACCTGGATCCGTGGAGGTTCTGGTAAGCCAAGTAACTCAAGCAGGAGGCATGGGAAGGTTACTGCCCCTTAGGGCAAACTTACATTTCTCTTGGGTAAGTACATATGAGAAAATAGCTGGATCATAGGGTGAAAATACACTTTGGACTTTTTAAGAAACTGCTGAGCTGTTACCCAACATGGTTTAATACATGAATAAATGGAGAAACATACCCTATCCTAAGGCCAAGAGAGTAAATATTGTTAAGACTGAAATTTTCCACTTATTTATGTATTCTTTAATTTTTCTCAGTAATGTTTTGTCTTCAGTGTACATATTGTAGCTAGCAGATATTTTGCCAGATTAATCCTTAAGTAGGCTGCCTTTTTTGATACTACTGAAAATGGTAGTGTTGATTTAACAGATAATTTTACCAATCAAATTTCAGGGCAAGAAAAGAAAGATGAATAACAAAATATGACTTCAAGGTTTGCATCTGGTTAAGAAGACAGTATAGGAATAAATATATTCATGGGGAAAAATAAATAGGCTAATTATATTTAAGATTTGTTGAAATCAGTAAAATATTCAGGTTGGTCCTATGGGCGGATGGAAATTTGGATCCAGACCGAAAGATGGAAACTCAAGAAAAAATATAAATTTCGGAATCATTCTTTTGAGGTGATGATTACAGTCATGGGTGAGATTAACATGCTTCAGGTTATATTATAAGAGCACTGCTTCTGTCTGCGTCTCTTCCAATAGACCCTGAGCTTCTCAGAGATTGGGGACCCACCTTAACTTTTTATTTCAACTCCAGGCAGAAGGGTTGGCTGGGAGTGGGTATCTCATTCACTCTCATTGGATGTGTGCCTTATGGTTTTAATCCTAGTTTTGTCACTGACTAGTTCTATCACCCTGAATATATTTACCTCTTTGGAACTCAACTTTCTACATATAAGCAAAAAAAAAAATGTCCAGTGCGTGGTATCTTTCTTAAAACCAAGAGGCACTCAATTAACGGTAACCTTTTAAGAAATAACTTCTGTATGACTGATATGTGTATGACACTAGTAGCTAACATGTGTAGCACTTTCCATTTGTCAGGTACTGAATGCTTATACATTCACTTCCTTAATCCTCATAATAACCTTGGGAAATAGGTACTGTTATTAGCACATTTTACAAATGTGAAAGAAGGATCTGTGGGGAGATTGAGTAGTTGACCCACGGCCACGGAGCTGGTTGATGGAGCTGGAATTTGAGCTTAGGCAGTGTGGCTCCGAGCTCACATTCCTCATCACTCTACCACATTGACTACTGCATCCACATGTATGTTAGCATACATTCATGGCATGTTTTTTTTTTTTTTGCTTTGAATGACAAAAAGTGACCATTCTAATATGATTATCTCATTATACCAATAGTTTAGTTGAGAGGATATTTGTGTACAGGCCTGCTGCACTCTAGATGTTTCCTGGTTCCTAGTTTTTATTTCATCTGTCATCATTCTATGCACAGCGAAGAATTTAACAGACTTGGGCTTATCTTCAAGGCCAAAACTAAAGATTTTTATATGACCAAAGATTCTGTACCAACTGAAGACTTCTCAGGGAATAGAAAGAAACTTAACAGGTAGATAGTGTTGATATATGTAAAAATCCTTACAAGTTATTTTTCATAACTACAGTGAGCATTAAAAATAAATTATCTAGACTCAGTGATGAATAACACACCAGCTCCTTCCTGCATGTTTGGCACTTCAAACTTATATAATGTAATTATCTGATCAATAAACAAATGCCTTTTGGAAAATAGAACTTGATACATTTTAATATTCCATGGGCATGCATTTTGAAGCAAGACAAAACTTGGCAAAGGTGATGCTTTTTAAATTGAGAATTATTTTATAGCCTAGAATAGAATGTATTGCATTTTCTCACCTTGCCCCATTTAGATATTATTATTATATCTCCATTTCATTTTATAGAAATCACTTGATTTTGTAGAGGAGCTGTTTCTGTTTGTAATTCTCCTCTTTCTTTATCATTCATCCAAAGGCATCTCACAAGAAGAGTCACTGCTCTCTCTCACCCTCTCTGGCAAAAGGAAGTGCCTCTCTACTATATTCCAGTAAACTTGGTATATGCCTCTATTAAATCCGATATCTCATTGTATTAGACCTAGGTGTATAGATCTTTTAAAAGATGGAAAGTGGCACATGACTGTTGGTATTCCCAACACCATTATAGTTAGTTGAATATAAAATATTGGTTGAATGTTGCCTAGTGTGCAAAGTGCATCAGGATATTTCTGGAAAAGCCTAGAAGGTAAGGGGCAAGTTGAAAAGAAGCTAAAAAGATCTTGACCTCTTGTCATTAGCTAGATTTGCATCCTGGGGCTTCCTTTTAACTTTTTGTGTTCTAGTGGGGTGTTGGCAAGTCAGGAGGCAAAGGCAGAAGGCGATCTCCGAGAAAGTGTCTGCCCATTATCTTGTCCACACTACAAACCTTACATCCAGGGACTCTTAACAGAGGAACGGGTGAGAAGCTCAGTCACGTTATTTGAAAGTGACTGTTTGTAAAAAGGAGCATTGTGTAGTGAACGAGCAGTAACACTTGGTGAGGGGTTTCTGGGCAGCATGAACACACTCCCAGTTTCCACTCGAAGTCGGCCCACAGCCTGGCACTGGGCACTAGAGCAGACAGAAGGAGTTCCAGGAAAAACAATCATTTCCTGATTTGAGGAATGGGAAGGGGAGCTTAATTGCAAGACAGAGTTGGGGGAAGCCTCTGTTGTATATTTCCTTTCTCTCTCCAAGCAAGCTCCGGAATTATATATGGCGGCAAAGATGCTACCTAACATTTGAAGTGGTAAAATAATAATTCTGATTATACTTGATGTTTAATCAGAATTATACTTGATGTTTTTATATTAAGTATGTATATTAAAATCCATAGAGTAGTGACTATCCTCAAAGAAATTAAAAGTATATAATTTAATTTTAGATTGGAAGCGACCTTGTAGAGCCAGTAGTTCAAGCCCTTCATTTTGCAGGTGAGAAAGCACGGCCCCCGTGGCAAAAGATAGATCCAGCCAGGGAGCGGTATAGCTAGCGGGCAGCAGTCCCAGGCTCTTAGGATTTGTATTGTTCAGCCTGATGTTCTTTCTGTAATAACATGCAACTGAGTTTCAGGATCCTCACACCGTAGGGCAGAATTTCTTTTATATATACTGCATACATTTTCCTGAATGATGCTAAAATATATAGTCTCAATATACCTTCTTTATGCCATCACTTTTCTGATGGCGATGCTTTAAATAAAATGTCTAAATGAAATAGGCCTGATTTTTTTCTAATTTAAGTTACATTCAAGGAAAGCTACATTTCATTTTCTATAACAAGAAGCCTCTAAAAGTGCTTTTAGAGCCACCTCTTTATGGAGTTCCAACCAAGAGTGACCTTGCACTGGGGTCCTTGGGGGGTGGCGGTTCCTGTGCAGCTGGTCACTCAGGGAGCACTTTCAGTGGACTCAGCAGAAAGGCAGGGGAAAGGCCCCTGCTTTGACATTTCCAAATGTGACTATCAATAGTTCCTGTCTCAAGTCTCATTAATGTTACTAGGAATTATTATCTCACCCTCCAGAAGAGAATCTTTGCAACGGACAGAGTATCATTTCTATTTTATTTTGTAGATGAAAAGGAAAGTCATCTACTATCAGCTTGCAGACTTTCCCCAAGAGATAAGGCTTAATTACAGTTAGCAAGTAATTAAGAAGCCTGGCACTTACCCTACCTTTGAAAAATCCAGAATTTATTTTAAAGCCCTTGCTGAATGTATCCTCACTCAATATTGCTGACAAGTGGCAGGTAACAGTATTTGTTTTACATTTTGAGAAGCTGAAATATAGAGGTGTGGATGCCTTCATCAGACAATTGACTTAAGGAGTATGTTTTAAATGAAAAGTGTAGCCTTCCTTAATAAATCAAATTCATGAATTTCAAAATTTTCAGTGGAGGACAAAAAAATTATTTGGAAGCAGAAGTAACTAGACCTTTAAACTGCATCTCTTCTTCCAAATGTTTCCCTTTGCCCTGGGAAGCTATTGGAAATTACTGCTACTATTGATCAGGGCTCAGGCGTTTGCTGTCCTGAGCTGGCTGATGTGTGCTCATATGCACTGTCTAAATTCTCTACAGCACAACTGAAATAAGAACAGCATATTCAACAAAAGCACACAGAGTTATATGACACCTGACAATGTATAGCTTACAAGGTGGGGGCTGGGGAGATGTATAATCCAACCATTTCCAGGCTGCTACAGGCAGTGCAAACCCCTAACATAGTCAGGGTGAGATCCATGTCTAGATTCAGGGAGAAGCCTGAGCTCCCACCTGTCTAGTGTACGGTCTCAGACACACTTCCCTCTTGGGACAGAGCTCTTCCCATTGGTGGGTCTTAGTGTATCCACTTCTCGGGAGACAATGTTTCATTGGAGAATATGCCATAGAATATAGGTCACACAGTAGAAATCATCACAGTGCAATGTAATAAGGCAATGGCATATATTTAAAAGACATCTAGGATCTGGAGTCTCTTCCTTTGCAGTCCTCTGTGTAATAGAATTTGGGGACATGCATGGTGGACTGTGTTAAATAGTGTCCTCCCAAAACTCATGTCCATCAGGAACCTCAGAATGTGACCTTATTTAGAAATGGCATCTCTGCAGGTGTAGTTCATTGAGATAAGTTCACGCTGGATTCAGGGGCCCCTAATCCAATGACCGGTGTTCCTGTAGGAAAATGAGACACACAGACATGGAGAGAGAACACCATGTGACAACACAAACAGGGATTGGAGTGATGCTGTCACAAAAACGTCAAGGATTGGCGGCTGTCACCAGAAGCTAGAGAGAGACATGGAGCAGATGTTCTCTCAGCAGCCCCAACAAGGAACCAACCCTGCCGACACCTTGATTTTGCACTTCTGGCCTCCAGGAGTGTGGGAGAATTAATTTCTCTTGTTTGAGTCACGAAGTTTGTGATAATCGGGTTACAGCAGCCCTAGGAAACGACACGAATGGGAAAGGTCCTTGTTGAATGAGGATGGGACTCATGAGAGGCTGATGGAGCTTGGCAGTAAATTTTAGTTGATTCCACTTCAATGTATAATAAAACTGGCACAGATTTCATATTCCCTATCAGTTATGGATACATGAATGCATAAAATACAAACATATTTTTATCTGTGTATATATATATTTAAAATATCAATTATTTCTGATTCTTCAAATTACTCTGTAAAGCAGGCATGTGGTTTATGAGCAAGCCCATTTCACAGATAAGTCAGATGCTCATCAGAAAGACACAGTGGCTCCCGGAATAGCCCCCACCCCGTTAGTGGCAGAGCTGGGCCTAGAGTCCTGATGTCCTGCTTTCTAAGTATTCTCTGAATAATGCAGTCATGGAAATAATATCTCCACCTGATAGATCAGGGACCTGAGGCTCATAAAGTACCTGTTACTTGCCCGAGTTTACCCACCATACAGCCCACCATTGGGAGCCAGAAATTTCTTACAATAAGGCCTGTGTTCCAAACTACGAGGCTCTACTGAATCCTAACCTTGCCTCTGTGTGTGTGTGTGTGTGTGTGTGTGTGTAAAATGATGAAATTCAGGTTTTAAAAATGTTCCCTGTGACTGTTCATGAACTAATTCTATAGCATAAATAAAAATAGAAAACATTCAGTTGTTTTGATTATATTTGAATGGAATGTTCCAGATTCATTGCAAATAGTTCCGATGCCTCAATGAATACAGAATTGAGATAACAATATTTAACCCCACTTTAAATATTGCTACTTCATGTTATTTTACTTAAGAAGCTTTAGCTTACATTAATGTTAACTGATCAAGATGAATGAAATATCCTTGAAATTGCTCAAAATGTATAAAACCTCAATTTGGAAAGGACCTCAGAGGTCTTCCTTGCCCACTCCAGTCCAACCATCCACAGTGGAAATCCAATGCAGATGCGGAAACTTCTCAGGACATGATTTTCACTCGCCCCCAAAGCAACCTATTCAAATGTCTTACATCCTTCACAGTTAGAAAGCACTGTCTTGCATTGAGCATATTTTCTACTTACTGATCCTTTTTTCCACCTCTTGTTTCCAAACAAAATGCATCTAATCTCCCCTCCACTTAAAAACCTCTAAGAAATGGGAGCTTTCCTTCCTGATCGATTGGTCAGATTCTTTCACCGTTCTGGTCACTTCTTGATTAATGTTAATATTTATCCATTCATTTATTCATTTGACAAAAATATATTGGACAGAAACTATGCAAGAATTATTATTCAATATTTATATAATATTTATTGTAAGACAAGCATTGCTCTGAATCCTTTATAAACATTAACTTTTTAAATCTTCATGACAATCCTATGAGGTAAGTACTATTATTTGCTTGATAATACATTTTTAAGTTTAACAAATTACTTTTTAATAAATGAGTGAGTAAATTGATAGATAAAAGGATAGATGTACAATAAAAATATTTCATCATATGGGTCACTACTGTTTTGATTTTATGCCCAGTGGCATTATATGATTACGTTTACTGCTTAAGCTAAAACAGCTAATAAAGATATCCAGAGTCGACAATGCCGTCAGGGGCACTTGAATTCTGAAACAGATGCCTCATTCAGAATTGTCCTCAAGAAACTGGTCTACAAGATCCTCTGGGCAAAAAGAGCCTCTTCTGAAATTATTCAAATAAATGACAGGAGACCTCCCAAAGCCCAAACTGCGATGTACATGATGCTTGGCTAGAGGCAGGAATTTTCTATAATCAACACCGAATGCCACCATAAAAGGGCTCCTAACACTTTTAGATATATTCACCCTGGCTCTAATTAGTTCAAATCCAAAATTAAACCTTTTGCTTATCTGCTTGAGGGCTCTTCAAACTCTGGGATGATTACTGGTTGTGATTTCTGTTGCCATGATGAGAATGACCTTCAGCATTTCCTTAAAATAATTGCACCTCCTAGAACATGAGGAGAGCAGGCCCTGGTGACCCGGTTGGGTACAATTCTACTGTCATTAAGCAATTCTGAGAAAGAATAGCCTAGATCTCATTTGTAAGCATCTACAAATTACTCTGTCTGTAAGCACCTACAAATTGTTTTTAAAGTGTTTGAGAGGTTTTGTTTCAGAAGGAAATGAGGGATAATACAGTGGCTTGGGGTAGGTGGAAAGGGATTTTATAGACTTCCATGTAAAATCACCAGAGCTCCTGGGGAGCAGAGAACTCTTTCTTTTGGCTTTGTTTTTTGTCAATTATTATTCATCAAGGCCAAGTGTAAATACAACTATTTGTAAAGTGCTATTTTTGATTCTCCAGACAGAAGTTTTGCTCTGTTTCTCTTAATCCCATCCGTTTTAAAATTTATTCTTATTTCTCTTCCTCCTGGAGGAAAGATGTCTCCTTCAGTTCAGGGGATATTTGTTATTTATCTCTGTTGTACTTCTTCATCTACGTGAAAAAGAAAGGAAGTCTCTAATTTCATGGAGCTTACGGTCTAGTAGAAAACTCATACAATTGACTGACAACCAGAAGTCAGGATGGGACTAGGACCAAGGGCTGCAGACAAAGTGACGCCTGTCCTGGGAACTGATGCGGAAGTCAGCTAGGCAATGTGAGAGGATGCCACCAAACGCCAAACCAAGAGAACAGCCAGAGAAACGGCTGAGAAGTGGGGCGTAGAGGAAGATGTGTTTGAGAAAATTAAATGGGCTCTTTCTGGCTAGGAATATAGAGCATAATGTGAGAACTGGGAACCTGGGAACACAGAGGAGGCCGTCACACGGAGGTCCATTTGAGCCACATTGTATTATAAAAGCTGCAGTTGGTGGGACAGTCAGACAGGCTGGGGCAACGACAATTATATTTCTACTTTAGAAACATTACTTGGGGTGCAGAATAATACAAAATAATAGAAAGATTATGTCTCAAGTCAGATAGAAAGCCGATTCATGGGAAGATTAATTCTGCTAGGAATAATGATGGTAAGAATCAACATGGTAGCAATGGGGATGGGAAGAAGTTGATAAAATAAAGGGATATTTTAGAAGTAGAAAATTGCTGTTTGGTATTAACTGAGATAGGGGCATGTGCACAAGAGTGTGTTCAAGATAATCTCTAGGTTTCTGATCTGTTACTCTGATTATCATTGTTGTATAGCAAAACAAATCATTGTTATATAGAAACTCATGGTTTCTGTGGATCAGAGATTCAGAAGTGGCACCCATCACAGGGATGACTTGTCTCAACCCCATGTTGGCTGGGGCTTCATCTGTGAGAACTTGAAAGATGGGGGTAACAGAGTCTAGGGGACTGGGATTAACTAAAGGCTCATTCACTCATGCTTCTGGCATCCCGTGAGATGAATTTAATGACTGGGACTGCCAACATTGTCTCCCTGTGTGGTTAAATCCCTTGCAGTATGGCAGACTCAAGGTATTTGTACTTCTTCCGTGGTGGCTCAGGGCTCAAAGTAGGAATGATTCAGTGAGCCAGGTGGAAGCTTCACCTTCTGAGATCTAGTACTGAAAGTCCTTCAGCATCACAACAACCATGCCCTACTGGTGCCAAGGAAAGGGTGCACGGTTCCTACCACTCGATGCAATGAGTGTCAAAGATTCTTGAGGTCATGTTTTAAAACTGCCGAAGTTTAAACTCTGGCTACAAATATATTTATATCTCTCTCACATGTAAAATACACCTACTTCCTCCTATAAGACCTGAAATGGCTCATTCCATAATAGAATCAACTAAAAAATCTAGACTCTGATCATCTAAATTAAGTCTAGGTGCAGATGAGGCTCTTAAAGTATAGCCCCTTTGGTATGAACTGAAGACTTAAGAAATGAAGAGATGATGTCTCAACTTCCCCATACCCAACATCCAATGCTTGGAAAAGTATAAAATAACTTCTCTATAATCTCCTGTTCAAAAAGGAGAAAATTCAGAGGCACACACCAGTCTTTGATCCATAGCAATTCTTAAATCCAAATAAGCATATGTTCCCAGTTTCTTGATTAGGGCTCAGTCTCACTGCTGAGGAGCAGTTGTCCTGGTATGCTTGGATCCAATCTTGGGACCATTTGTTTTTCCATCTGAGCCATTCTTTATTTTCTATATAAATAAACAGACTTGTTTTTGCAGCTGAGAGGTGGCCTTGTCAACCTGACCTCTCCCTGTATAAGGTTGTGGGTCTACAGGTCTCTTTATTTTATGCTGTCTCTGTCCTTTTCAGCTCAAACTGATACAATTCCTTTATAAATCTCCCAGGCTTCCTGTGTATCAATTTATAATACTCTCCATTGAGCAAAGGTCACATACACAAATAGCATTGAGGAAGCTCTTCTTTGACTTGGGCTGCCTCTGAAGCTGCCTGGGGACAATATTCTTGCCATTCATATGTGCTCCTTTAAGCATTCAAAGAAACAGAAAGGTGTTTAGGGATCTTAAACTCACTACGAATCTGTGTGGCACCAACTTATATGTTTCTGAGGTCTTGTCAAAAGAGTTTTAAAATCACATACCTGGCTCTGTCATTATCCTTTCTGGCAACACCCTCAATTGGACCTTTGGTCTAGGCCCTTTCTTAGTTTTAGAACATTCTTCTGGGAGACACTATGGAAACATAGTTGTATTTTTTGAGCCCAGTAAGTCCCGGATCCTTTCTGTTTCCTTTAAATTTTGCTGAAAACTGAGTTTCTTTTTTTTTTTTTTTCTCATCTCTCTCTATTTTTATCTTATCCTACACAGATTTAAAAAGCCAATTGGAAGTTTTAACATTCTGCCTTGAAACCATCTTAGGCAAATCCAGCAGTTCATTAAGTATGTTTTCTGATTTCCATGACACTACAGGTGACAGTGTTGACAAAACTGCCTCCCTAAACTTCCAGCCTTTCCTTGAGGCTCTCACAGTCTCACCCACTGCCTGGTCCCACAGCCAACACCACATGTTTTAGGATTTTCTCATAGCCACAACCAGTTCCAGGTTCCAAATTCCGTTCCAGCAATTATTGCTGCATAACAAACCATCTCAAACCTCAAAACAGCAACCACTTTATGATGCTCATTATATTATTCATTCTGATTCTGAAGGTCACTAATTCAGAAGGTCATCACAAGGATGGCCTGTTTCTGCTCTGTGACATCTCTGGGATGCCTCAGCTTGGATGGATTGAAGGTTGGGGTAACTCGGTACCTGTGAGCTGGAATTAACTGGTCTCATTCACATGTCCAGCAGATGCACGGGGAAAATTTGAAGATGAAAACTGAAAACTAGGGAGCCTACATGTGTCCCTCCATGTGATTCTGCTTCCTCATAGCTTGGTGGCCTCATAGTAAATGGAATTTTTACCTTTTGGATCACAGCTCCAAGTGCAAATAAGGTGGAAGTTGTATTAGATTTCATGGTTCTATCATAAAAATCGCATAAGATAACTTCAGCAGCATAATATTGGATGAAGCCATCACAGGCCCTCCCAAATTTGAGAGGAAAGAGCATGGACCACACCTCTCCATAAAAGGAATGTCGAAGAACTTGGGAGACATGTTTTTAAACCTCCACACAATAGTCTGAATTGTTTCTTTAAATGAGGAACGCAAGAATAGAAGCAGATTTGTGGGAAGGATGACCCAGGTCAGGTTTAGAAATTTGAATTTTGAGCTTTCTGTGTGGTATTTAGTTGGCAATAAGTACAGAGGATTTTATTCACATTTGGAACTCAGGATGAAGTCCAGGCCTGAAGTTAGAGCTGGGAAAACCACATCTGAGATTTAAAATCCTGAGAGTGGGTGAAAGTGTCCGCAGTGACATAGGGAAGAACATTCGTGAGCATACTCTAAATGCAAAAACAGGTAGACAAAGGCATTATTTTAAAAAATAAATGAGAGTGCGGGTCCCAGAATCTAAATGGAGAAAGCACATCAAAAAGGAGGAAGTTGGTAATGCAAATACTGCAGGCAGGTGACTTCAAAATGGTAAAGGTTGAATTTGAGTTAGCCACAAGAATACCACTGGTGGCCACAAGGAAGTACATACATAAATAATAGTGTACTTTAAGCTATAAAGTCCTGCATTAGAATATTCCCATTGTATATCTTAATCCCAGGGACTAAGTGCTAGATCTTGAGAACATCAGACTGAAAATCTCCAAGGCTGCAAATTCATCCCTCCCTGACCACAGCCTCCCATTATTGTAGGAAATTTGCTCAGGTGTCCTACCCTAAAGAGTTCTTACACCTCATAAAGGGATTCTAGCTTGACCAACCTCAACCAGCATATTTTTGTGGACCAGCATTAAAGACACTGTCTTACAAATACTCAAACTCTCTAAACAGTTTCTCCTGCCTTTATTTAATGTTTGCTTGGCAAAGCTTCACGCTTAGATACCAACAGTTACTTACCTTTACATACCTGTATATGGAGATCTTATTATATTTTTATATTAAAGTTGTTTTATAATAAATCGTTTCCCCACTGCCCATTACCCTCTCATACCTCTTCTTCTCTCCTCAAGCTTTTGACTTTCCATTTCTATCTTAGTCTTTGTTGAAGACCTTGAATAACAGTTCATGGAGAAAAAGAAATACTTATTGTAATGGTGACATGTGTTATAACATGTGACGCACTTGAAATCTGAGCCATAGTTTCCCAGTAACTATTAACTATTATTGTTATTAATCAAGTGTGGAGTGACTAAAAGACAAGAGATATTTCCACACTGTGGAAAGAGCAGAGGTCCAAAGGGGCCCCTGGAGAACAGGAGCCAGGTGGACCCCAGTTCTTTACCCTTAGCTGCTTTGGGGTGTCATCGTAAGGCACAGCCATTTGAGGAGGTTATGATTGAAACTACGAATGGGGGGGCACATTAGTAGAGAGGTCGAAGGAGAAGGGACCTTGCATAACAGAGAACAAAGATTCAAGAGGATGGAGAGGGATGGCTTGAAAGAGATAGAAGCGTGAGGAGTGCTAGGGCACAACGCAGCCTGCAAGTGCAAGAGCAGCATGGGACAGATGGCTGCACGGGCTGATTGTCTTAGCAGATGGACCAGCACGCCAGCAAGTTGCTCAACATCCTCAGCCCCTGTGGCCCTCTGGAGAGTGGACTGAAGACTGAACTCTGATCTTTTCTTTTTCTCTGCTCCAGATTTCTTTCTAAGAGGCCTGGTGAGTCATGCCCTACAAACCATAAAATCTCATTAAATTGTTTTTGTATTAACCCGGTATAATGTGGCTTACTTTCCAAACTGACTCTGGAATAGCATCAGATGGTATAGCAGACCTTCTATCTTAACTCAAGCATTCCTTTCCGGCGATTCCAGGTCATTAGACAAAGCTTACCTCTTTCAACCAGTTGCCAACTAAAGAGTCCCTAAAACCCAACCATGACTTGTAAGCCTCCGCTTTGAGATGTCCTACCTTTTTGGGCCAAACCAATGTATAGCTTGATTTATGGTTTTGCCTATAATCCCTGTCTTCATGAATGTATAAAACCAAGTTGTAACCTCACCGCCTGAGGTGCATTTCTCAGGACCTCTTGAGACGATGCTACCCAGACCACGGTCACACATATTCAGCTCAGAATAAAGCTCTTTAAATATTTTGGCAGAATTTGCTTTTTCTTTTGGCAGGACTCAGACCTTCCTATGGAAATCAGGCAACCTCCCCTCCCCCTAGAATGGGCAGAGCGTGCACCCAGAGAGATTCTACGCTACTCCTCAGGGATACATGCTCAGGATTCCCTGTGTCTACTTTTGCTGCTTTTTAAGGTCTTTTTTGGTCTTCTTTGCCAAATGGATTCATCCTTTCCTTCCAAAATCATAAAAAGTAATACGCATGAGAGAAAATGTTTCTAATTCTCTAGGCAGAGTTAGCAACTATGTAATAGCACTTCCTAATTGCAATGTAGTGAATTATTCACTGTCTTTTTCTCCAAGTATACACTACATTTATCAGAAGAAGTAACTACTTTATTATATATCTACATATTCTCACTCCTCAGTGCATAACACAGTTCCTGACCTATGGTTAGTATTCAATACCTATTTTTTGAATGAAGATTTAAGATTTTGATGAAGATTTGTATGTATATACGTCTGTCTTCTCCACTAGACTGTGAGCTCCACGATTTAAGTAGCTTTAACTATGCATTGATTCATTACAACACTGGAACATTTCTGACACATAGTAGGTTCACTAAAATACTAACCTGTGGCTGTATTATTCTTCCTTCTCATCCACTACCATGATGTCCTCAGAAGCTTCAAAAGCAGAAATGACTTTGATAAATGACAAGAGGAGAACTGACATCAGTATAAATGTTTCTCTCCCCAAATATCCCAAGTTCTCTGAATATATACAGCCTAAGAAGAAATCCTATAGCAGAAAAGAGCAAATTCCATTTGTATTCAGGAATGGTACAACCTTCCCATGTAGCCTGGACTCACGTGACTGAGCTGGGAAAAGGTTTTGGAATCTAGAAGCTGTATTCACTCAGTATGCAGGTGGCGTTCACAGGGAGATGCAACAGAAATGACAGAATTTCCACGCTCTCTGAATCCTGTCACCCTCCCTGTTTTTAGTCTCATAGAGATTCTTAATTGCAAGAAAGATTCATTCTGTATGTGATTTTCTTTTCATTTAGATTAAAGTTATCTTGATAATTAAATGCTATACTAATACTTCCAAGGATAAGTCATAAATTCCCATGGAGTAATTTTATATTTCTTTACCTAAGAAGAATTTTTTTTCCTAGAAATATTTTTTCCAGCATATTATGGGGGCACAAATGTTAAGGTTACATATATTGCCCTTGCCCCCCTCTCCCGTCTAGTCAGAACTTCAAGCGTGTCCATCTCCCAGACGGTGTGCATCACACTCATTATGTATGTATATACCCATCCTCTCCCTCCACCTGCCTGACACCCAATAAGAAGAATTTTAAACTTAAAATCCTTTAAATCCAGTTCAGCAGAAGCTCTTGGAGCCAAGTGCAGTGTGAGGTACTGCACAGAGTATTGTGCGAACGTGTTGTTGAGGGAGGCAGCAGCGGTGTGTGTGTGTGTGTGTGTGTGTGTGTGTGTTACCTCCCCTAGCCCCTGAAATATTCATTGAAGAAAAGAAAAATATTTCTTTGACAAAATTTGACATGGCTGTTAAGAGAGGCAGCAAACAGAAGTAACCCTGCAAAGGTGTCTTTTCAGGGGAAGGGAAATAGGGAGAATATTTGCATCTGCCAAGAATCTGCACTGATGCAGCCAGGCCTTCCTTCCCTTGTCTGGATCTAGGAAAGATTGACTGAGAGTCTGACACCTTTAAGGTCTGAAAGAAACATTCATGTCTATTCCCTCTGAGGGCTGCTACCTGTGTGCTTTCATTTCCATAAAAAGACCACCTTTGCTAGCCTCTTCCTCTCATCACCTGTCTTGCCCCATAACCTGATTTATCACCATAACCTGGTTTTGGCCATGCTCTGAGCCCTCATTCTTTCTGTAACCTCAGGATGGCATATAAGATTCTGTACCCCATTGGGGGGCATTGGATAATCACTCTGTGATTCTCCCCCTGTACCTGTTAATAAGTTGTATGCCTCTTATCTTGTTAATCTGCCTTTTGTGAGTTGATTTTCCAGTGAAACTTCCAAGCCAATGAAACACACCACAATAAGGCAGACTCTGGCAAGGAGAAGCACTACTACATCCTCTGTTCCTCAC